ATGATAAAATAGAGTGTTGTTCTAGAGATCATGAGTTCAAACAGTTAAATTAAAGGTTTGTGTGCATTGTCAATAACTAAAAAATATTTTAAACAAATATTATTCTTGTAATCATATTATACTATTAAAAATATATTTATAACTGACGAAAACAATTCGGATAATTAATACCTAAAGAATACTACATGTATAATTGAGAATATAATTAAAATATTTTTATTTTTTCAACCAATTTGTGAAATAGCATTTAATTTATTAAGATATAAAATTGTTTGGCTTTAAATAATAATAATAGTGTGGTCCGTCTAGGCAAAGCATTGGGACCCTTTGCCCTCGATGTGTGGTAGCATTCTTAACTATGGGACAACCACCATCCCACTTGGGACCCTAATCCCCTTCAATGTTGATATAAATCCATGCTTGACCCACTTAAAAAGACTATCGAGACCAAGATTCAAATCACTCACAAATATCCTCATTTGTTATCTTCTTCTCTCTATTTAGTTATTAAATTTAATGATTTTTAATTCAAAATTAACTTTTTATCAGTCAATTATATTGAAGACGTAATAGTTATATACTTTTAAAATTTTAATTTACATATTGCACTTATTTGAATGTATATTTTAAAACTTGTTTTAACAATGTCTTAATTTAATATTAAAAATTAGTGAATTTAATAAGTCACTTTAACAATAAAAGAGAATATTATTCTCTCTAGAAATTTTAAATCTGAGCAATACATCTAAAAATTGTATATTCTCAGTAATTTAAAAAATTCTAAACAAATAAACATTTACTCAATCACTCATATTCATTCATTTGAAAAAAAAAATCAGTGGATTACTTTTATAACATTCTCTATATAGATCATATGATTGAAAAATTTTCTATTGATGTAATGGTTAATGCCTCTTTCCCATGTAAAAAAAAAAACAGGTAAACCATAGAATACAAGTTTTACCTTCTAATAATACTTTTATTTCGATTTCAATTTATATATATATATATATATATATATATATATATATATATATATATATATATATATATATGCAAGAAAAAAATACTATGTACATTTTTTTTTTACTTTTAAAACTTTGTAAATTGTAAATCTTGAAAGAAGAAGGCTTAAACTTAATGCTCAAATAAGTGTACAAATTATATCATTTGTGTTAAATAAGTGTCTATGTTTTTTTATCCATCCGAATGTCTAACGTTACAAACATTAACACTCTAAGTGTCTGAGACGTTTGGGAATTATCGGTGGAGTTGGTTTAGATTTAGGAAAAAATAGAGTGAACAATATGATCATCAGAATAGATGATATAAATGTTGTTGGAATTTGGGGTATTGGAGGATCGGGTAAAACTACGCTGGCCAATGAAATTTGTAGAGATAATCAAGTTCGAAGTAAGTTTTCTCCTTGATGTAAGGAGTTGATCAAATGAAGTTTTTGTCGATTCTTCTAGTCGGTATGCCCGATTATGGTCGAACTAATTGCTTCTGTTTTCATTTTTTAAGGTTACTTCAACGACAGAATTTTTTTCTTAACTATATCACAATCACCGGATATCCAACAATTGAGGGCAAGAATATGAGGATTTCTTACAGGAAACGAGGCCATAGGTTACACCAATAACTTGTTTGTGAGTGGGGAAGTGGACCACGAACTCTGGTTATTTTGGACGACGTTTGGTCCCTTCCTATACTGGAACAATTAATTTTCAGGATCTCAACATATAAAACTCCAGTTGTTTCAAGATTCAGGTTCTCAACAACTGTCGTTCGTGAAGTTTACAAAGTTGATTTGCTGAGTGAAGATGAATCGTTGTCGCTATTTTTTCACTCTGCTTTCGGACAAACTTCGATCCCGCCTACTGCCAATGAGACTTTGGTCAAGCAGGTAACCAACCAACTTCAAGCCGTGAATGGGGGAGGAGGAGAGTTGCAGAGAAGGGGATAGTGGTAAAATTTAGGTTTTTTACTTTTAGGTTAAAATATTAATATTAATGTTTAATTTATTTTAATTTTTATATATTCTAATTTTATAGAAAAAATATAATTAGGAACACATGTCGATAAATAATTAAATAAATGGATAATAATTTTTATTTAACGGCTGTTGTGTCCCAAATATTTAAAATACCAATGTTTATAATATTAGATATCTGGATAAATAAAAAAAATTATGAACACTTATTTAACATAAAAATAGACACTTATTTAAAAAGGCCAAGAAGAAAACAAAAGGCAAAATATTATAATTATACTTTTTGCAGCCGCCAAACTTGAAAAATGTGAACCCAGACCCAATAGGAAAGAACTTTGACACTGTCCGACCAATTTCTTGAAGCAATACTCAATGTTCGTGCCGTTTCCACTCATCTCAAAGCTCTAGGATGGACCATGGTCCCTCCAACTTTCGTGTGGCCCAGTCACCGTTCGGTGCAAGTGGCGTTTCACATCAACGCCGGCTAGTCGCCCTCATTGGTCAGTCCACCGGACGTCCACCATCACCAGTAACGGACGTGCACTCAACTATTGACTAAAAGTTGCTTTTTAAGCAAGCGTTCATTTAAGAGAATACCCTACAGCTCGATATAGGCGTTGTTAAAATAAAACTGCTTTTCCAGTGTATTCACAAAATTAGAGGCCATTTGCTTTTAAAATTTAAAATTTGTGGCTACATTTTTTTACATTTATTTTTCAATCCTAACAGCAGCAGAATTAATAAATTATGATTATCAATGTGTCTGACTAAACTTTCCTACCATATATAATGGTAGCTACCAATATTAACATTCACTCTTATTTATTAGCCTACCCAACTCCGAGTTACAATATTTCCGCGTTGGCTCAGAAATGATGAATATATATATTAATTTGAAGTTGGTTCATAAATTTAGTTGTTGGAAGTCATTTTAAATCCTAGCAACTAAGAGAATGCACATTCAGTATGCATTTTGAAGTGGTTTTTTACAGCAACTTTGTACTACCGTAAATCCAGCATTTTTCTATAAAAATGTCAATTTATTTATCCTCCTTTCACTCTCTCAGGGGTCCAGGAAATTTCCTGAGAGTTGGATTCTGGAAGAACGTCAACGGAATTCAAGCTTGCTTTTTTTTTATGCATGATGTCATATGATCGAGTAATTTACAAACAAACATTTTATACGAGAAAGTACTATTGTCATGTTCAAATATCACATTTATTCGTTTTTACTTATTCTTCTATAAATTTAAAAAATTGATGGAAATTCTTTTATATTCAAAGAAATTAATTGTAGGGACATCCCACCATTGTTTTACGATCAAACAATAACCTTTTTTGTGTGTGAAAGTTACCAAACAACATGGATAAGGCTACTGTCCTGATTCAGGGGGTACGTGGTTTTAACTCTTACCCACTTTCCAGAGAATTTGGACATATTTCACTGTTGCAATAGACTTCCAGTTACTGTGGTGATTTGATTCTTATATTCTGTAAGATAATTTATTAGAAAAAAATAGCAGTCAATGGAAGTAAAACTAAATCTTTCACCAGCTCAAGTTATTACTATTGTTGAGGAAAAAAATGAATGGGTCCATTGAGTGTAAATGATACTAATTCTCGAGTTGATGCTTAAGGAATTGGATTGTACAAGTGTTACCCAATTAGGTAGGAAAATGTGAAACATTTAGTTGATGGGAAATTAGTCAAAGGATTCATTTTCATTTCCCATTGATTAAAGTTAACTTCAAGCGTACATATATATGGAATTCAAATGTTTTAACTTGACGTTGGAACAAATTATACATAGCTAAGCTACTTGCTTTTAAAATTCAAGGCAGATGGATCTGAATTGTGTAACTTGTTTGAAAGCATTAAATGTTAAATATGGTACATTAAAATAATTGAGTCTTTGAAAATTTTCCACCCCATGATTCTTTAAAATATCGGTTCTAGGAACTTTAACTCACAATTGTATTAAGGAGATAGAGAGCGATCCACCAACCCAACCTTAGGAGTCAAAATTTTAATGAAAAGTGCAAAGATTTAAAGACCTTCATTATGTTTTTTTTATGGAACCCTAACTTTTCCTCTTACTAGCATCGACTTCCAAATATTAATATATATTTAAAACAATAAAGTTAATTATTAATGAATATACCACCTACCTATTCCACAAGTACACATTCCTTGTTTAATAACCTTGTCGGGGTAGCTTAAGTTTATCCTTCGTTATTATTGGACTCTTCCCTTGTATTTAAAGAACAAAATCAACGATGTCTAGAAAGAACAAAAAGAAAAACTCGTGGTATTTTCGTTGATTGAAATTGAATCGATGGGGTTTAAATGAAGTGTATGGAATTAAACGAATCTAATCACTAAGATTTTTTACTGTATCTTGCAACAGTAACTGATGATGTCAAATTTGGTCTTCGAACTGGACTCTCTACCTATGAAGTAACGTCGTATGATTTGACCACATAAGAGCATTTACCCTTTGTTAATTGCCCAAAAAAAAAGGCTCGCTCCTGAAAGCGTAACTCAACGAGTCGAGATCATTTGATTCACTTGTACTAGTAAAAAAAAACGAGGCAAAAGAATGCCTCTGCCATGCATTCATAATAAAAGCAAAGCTTAATTTCGAGTGCCTGTCTCGTTAATAATCTCCCACTACGTTTCTGCCTTTCTCTCCCACTCCAAATCTCCGCCATATATCAGTATATGTTTTTTTAATCATTCTCGAGATCATTTCCCCACTCCCCGTGATGCGACCGATTTGATGAACTTTTCCGCTCCCTTGTCTCAACCCCATTCATTATTTGTTTTCAAAATCACAGCTTCTTACGGTAACAAAAAAAAAACATCCCTTTTCTCCCATCATTTTCTTGGCTTTTTAGCTTCGAGAAGGGGAATGGAATGGTAACAGTTATACCCTTTGCTTCAGTTTCCAGTATAATCTCCCACCATGATTCTGTTTAAAAACTCACCACAGACAAACAATAATAGTCACCCACATCATAGCACTCCTCCCCCTTGCTCTGTTTTTTCTCTAGCATTCATTCCCTGTCTCTCCAATGGCGAAGTACTATCTTCATCTCTCAAAATCCATACTCATTAACTCTTCATTCCGTTGAGAGGCTCCATCCATATATATTCTGCAAATCTCCATTTCCTTTCTCATTCCGTTCACTATGCAAAAAAAGAGCTACGAAATAAAAATGCCTCTCCTTTTCCTCTCCTTTCTCTTGTTCACCTTTTCTTCACCTTCCCTCTCTCTCAACCAAGATGGTCTTTACCTTCTCCAAGTCAAAGCTTCCCTTTCGGACCCTGACTCCGCCCTTTCCTCATGGAACCCTCGTGACCCGACCCCGTGTTATTGGTACGGCGTTTCATGCGACTCTGCCACCGGCTCCGTCACTTCCCTTGACCTCTCCAACGCCAACATCGGCGGCCCTTTCCCCACACTCCTTTGCCGTCTCCAAAACCTTTCCTTCATTAACCTGTTCTACAACAACATCAATGACACCATCCCTTCAGATATCTCCACGTGTCCAAATCTCGTCCACCTTGATCTCTCCCAGAACCTACTCACTGGTGAACTCCCCCACACTTTGGCTGACCTTCCTAACCTTAAGTACCTCGATTTAACTGGTAACAATATATCGGGAGATTTTCCCCTTTCATTCGGGAGATTCCAGAAGCTTGAGGTTTTGTCTCTGGTTTACAACCTTCTAGACGGTACAATCCCAGCCTTTTTAGGCAACATTAGTACGCTGAAAATGCTCAATTTATCGTACAACCCGTTTAGTCCGGGTCGGATCCCTCCGGAGCTTGGCAACTTAACGAACTTGGAGATTTTGTGGCTCACGGAATGTAATTTAGTCGGAGAGATTCCTGATTCGCTGGGTCGGCTCGAGAAACTCACCGATTTGGATCTCGCCCTAAACAACTTGGTGGGGAATATCCCGGGTTCTCTTACCGAGTTGGTTAGTGTCGTCCAGATTGAGCTCTACAACAACTCCTTGACCGGCGTGTTACCTTCTGGTTTATCGAATTTGACCAAACTGAGACTATTCGACGCGTCGATGAACCAGCTAACAGGGACGATTCCGGACGAGTTGACACAGCTGCCACTTGAAAGTCTCAACCTATACGAGAACAACTTTGAAGGGGCTTTACCATCGAGTATCGCCGACTCCCCAGCTCTGTACGAACTCAGGCTCTTTGAGAACCGACTCACTGGGGAGTTACCCGTGAACCTCGGTAAAAACTCGCCTCTAAGATGGCTTGACGTCTCCAGCAACCTATTCACCGGCCCTATTCCGCCTAGTTTATGCGAGAAAGGGAACCTAGAGGAGCTTCTAATGATATACAACTCGTTCTCGGGTCATGTACCGTCGAATTTAGCAGAGTGTCGGAGCCTGAACCGGATCCGACTCGGGCACAACAAATTATCTGGTGAAATTCCTGAGGGGTTCTGGGGTCTCCCTCACGTGTACTTACTTGAGCTTGTTAATAACTCGTTCTCTGGCCAAATTGGGAAATCAATTGCCAAGGCAGCGAATTTGTCTCTTTTGATCATATCTAGGAACGAGTTCAATGGCTCATTGCCAGAAGAAATTGGTCTAGTTGACAGTTTAGTTCAACTTTCAGCTAGTAACAATAAGTTTAGTGGGCCGTTACCTAAAAGCATAGTGAAACTTGATGGACTAGGGATTCTCGATCTTCATGGGAATGAGTTGGAAGGCGGGTTGCCTAGTGGGATTGAGTCTTTGAAGAAGTTAAACGAGTTTAATTTAGCTAAAAATGAGTTTTCAGGAAAGATTCCTGATGGAATAGGGAGTTTGTCAGTGTTAAACTATCTTGATTTGTCGAACAATCAGTTAACTGGGGGAGTTCCTTTTAGTTTGCAGCATTTGAAGCTTAACCAGCTTAATTTGTCAAATAACTTGTTATCTGGCGAGCTACCGCCTTTGTTCGACAAAGAGTTGTACAAAAATAGCTTCAAAGGGAATCCTGGTTTGTGCGGGCATATCAGTGGTTTGTGTGTTGGAAGGGATGCAGATAAGCATAAAGGTTATGTTTGGTTGCTTGGATCCATTTTTGTCTTAGCTGCTCTGGTGCTTGTTGTTGGTGTTGTTTGGTTTTACTTGAAGTACAGGAGTTATAAAAAAGCTAGGGCAATCGATAAGTCCAAGTGGACTTTGATGTCTTTTCATAAGTTGGGTTTTAGTGAATATGAGATTTTGGATTGTCTTGATGAGGATAATGTGATAGGGAGAGGATCGTCGGGGAAAGTTTACAAGGTGGTACTTAGTAATGGAGAGGCTGTTGCCGTGAAGAAGCTCTGGAGAGGCGTGAAAAAGGGTTGCGGGAGTATAGATATTGAGAGAGGTCAGGCTCAGGCTCCAGCTCACGATGATGGGTTTCAAGCTGAGGTCGAGACTTTGGGGAAAATTAGGCACAAGAATATTGTCAAGTTGTGGTGCTCCTGTACTACTAGGGATTGCAAGCTTTTGGTTTATGAGTACATGCCTAATGGTAGCTTGGGCGATTTGTTGCATTGCAGTAAAAGTGGTTTGCTGGATTGGCCGACGAGGTACAAGATCATTGTTGATGCAGCCGAGGGGCTTTCTTATTTGCATCATGATTGTGTTCCCCCAATCGTGCATAGGGATGTCAAGTCGAACAATATCTTGCTGGATAGGGATTTTGGTGCTAGAGTTGCCGATTTTGGAGTTGCCAAGGTGGTTGATACAGCTCGAAAGGGTGCTAAATCGATGTCTGTCATCGCTGGTTCTTGTGGTTACATTGCTCCAGGTTTGTTGCTGGATTCTTTATTGTCATTCTTATAATTGAATGTTGCACTTTATTTGTTTTATTTCCTAGAACGTGGTTACACTATGCTCTTTGAATGCTCAATCAGAAATCTTCCAAAAACTCGTAGTCTTGTATGTACATTTCACTGATAATTCTCCTTCAACTGACCGATGCAAATATTTATTTGCCTCTGAAGTTATATTTCACTCTATCTGAACTAAATCTTCCTATGGGAACTGTTGATTCAGAGTATGCATATACACTAAGTGTGAACGAGAAGAGTGACATATACAGTTTCGGCGTGGTTGTACTCGAGTTGGTGACAGGAAGACTCCCGATTGACCCGGAGTATGGGGAGAAGGACCTGATAAGATGGGTCTGCACCACTCTAGACCAGAGAGGAGTGGACCATGTTCTTGATTCCAAACTCGATCCTTGTTTCAGAGATGAAATATACAAGGTCCTTAACATCGGCCTCCTTTGTACCAGCCCACTTCCAGTCAACCGCCCATCAATGAGAAGGGTGGTTAAAATGCTCCAAGAAGCCGGTGCTGAGAACCAGCAAAAAACTGCTGCCAAGGACGGGAAATTTAATCCTCATTACTACGAAGAGGGCTCGGATCAAGGAAGTGTAGCATGAGAAGAAAAACAAGGTTATGCGCATAGCTTAATTTATTGCATAAACAAAGACGAGTGGATAGGATTGTTGTGTGACATACGCCTCTCAAATTTTGGTCTCCAATCATTGTACCCACTTGATGTTTTGCTTTGAGAGATAAAGAGCAGGGGCAGATTTATTAAGGAATTTAAAAGTAGTGTGTAAATTTATTTAAAGGGCATGGGGTGACATTTGAATCACAAACTACCTTAATCTTTGTTTCCCATTAATTGGTTTCACGGCTCTCTGTTGTGAGATTTTAAAGAGGTTTTATGCTTTTGTAAGCCACATGTAGCAGCTTGCTGCTTCTTTTGATACAGTATAATGTTTTTGTAACTTCAGTGGGTCAGGGCTAGGCTGGTTAGAGCCAGCGGCGGGCGAAGGCGGGCTATAAGAGGAGGAGGAAGAAAAAGGTGGTGCATTAGGGAAGACATTGGGAGGAGGGCCGCAAGAGTCGCCGTCGCACTTGTGCGAAAGCGACTTACGGTGGCCGTGACGAAACAACCCGAATCCCAATACAAGACCCGAAACCACTAACACCGTAACTATGAAGATGAAGATCTTTGTTGCTTTCCCCACATAGCACATCATTTTTATTGTTTTTTTATCATGCAAAGAACAAGAAGCTGCATATTTGAAAAACAGGTCTAATTGCAATAAATCTGTGATGAAGTGGTTGGGTAGGGTAAGGTACGTCCTAGATGACAGTGGGACCTAAAACAGTTATTCTAGAAGAGGTACAAACATGTAAACAATCTTCAGCCTTTTCTGGACAAAACCAGACCCATAGCTGAGTATTAGACAGCGGATATAGGCTGTTTAATTTTGTCTTGTTCCATTTGGTTGGTTGTTTTACTTGTTCGTACCTCCTCAAATTAAATTTATTACAGCCTTAAGAAGCATTTCCGTGGATTTCAACTGTTTTAGTGCAACATTAAACGTACACCAAATCTTCCACTTTTTTATTTATTTTTGCAGTGATTCTTAAATTACTTGCGGAGAATCAGCTATAGCTCACTGCAATTCAAATGCCAACGAATAAACCAAACTCGATCTAAAGTAAGAATTTCAACATAATGGGGCCGCCAGGTCAAGCATATTTGGGTAAAAATAGGTGAGATAATGTAAGTGTATTTTTTTTTAATTTTTAATATAATTTATCTAGGAGATTATTTTTTTCATTTAAGGTGAATTGAACAATATCAATTTAAAGATATCAGTAAAATATGAAGATTCTACGATTGTATGACGTCTTCAAGCAAATGAAGAATATTTCACAATTGTATGGCATCTTCAAGCAAATTAAGAATACCCCATAAATGCAGGTGTTTTTAGACTAATAAAAAATCTCAATTCAGGAAATAATATGATGAATGTATTATATAGGAAAATATTTTTTTCTACAACCCTATACGTGGAGGAAGCCAGCATATTTGTATGTTTCCAGGGTTTGGTTTCAACGTCTACTTTAGAAAAGCTCTGCTTATTATCCTTTCTAGTCTGTTTTCTAGTCTTTTTTTTAAATGGAAAATAAAAAATTAATTGGTTAAAAAATGTTAAGCTTTTTTTAATAAAAGATGTTGAAGTTATAAAACAATTTTAATAAAAACGTTATTTTCATTGTTTTCCCTAAGAATATTTATAAAAATTGAAAATAAAGGATTTCTAACCTTAACGACTTGATCCAATCATCCAACTTTAACTGTATATAATATAAAAATATTTTTAAAAAAATCCTAAATATCAAACCTCTTACTGTAGTACGGATCACTATAAATGTTAGTATATATATTTTTTAAAATTTATTTCTCATAAGAAGATAGGTACGGAATGTATTTTTTTATTTTTCACACCACTTTATTTTTAGAGAAAATAACCTCAGTGACCAATTTTAGTATATACGATTTTGACCAATTTTTTTTTATTTGCGAAAATGACCAACAAAATCGCAATGCGATCTCTAATTCGCATTGCGATCTCTACTATCGCAAATTCGCGTTGCATTTCGCGTTGCGATAGTTGAAAATCGCGTTGCGATTTTCCATTTCGCGTTGCGATAGTTGAAAATCGCGTTGCGCTTTTCCATTTCGCGTTGCGATAGTTGAAAATCGCGTTGCGCTTTTCCATTTCGCGTTGCGATAGTTGAAAATCGCGTTGCGATAGTTGAAAATCACGTTGCGCTTTTCCATTTCGCGTTGCGATAGTTGAAAATCGCGTTGCGCTTTTCCATTTCGCGTTGCGATTTTCCATTTCGCGTTGCGATAGTCTACAGTTGTCGTTGCGATTTTCCAAATTCGTTGCGATAGTCTACAGTTGTCGTTGCGATTTTCCAAATTCGTTGTGATAGTTAAAAAAAAGATTTTGTTTCTTAAGAATTTTCTCTAAAAAGATAGTATCCGCGCGGACGTGTCAAAGACACGTATGACCCCGACCACGACCACGACCCCGACCCGACCCGAGACGAGACGGACAGCGACGACGACGCGCGAGAGTCCCCCTTGTTCTCTATCACTCAACAAGGAAGTGGGAAAGCCAAGCCTTAAATACCATTCCCAATAGTGTTTCCAATACTATATGGGATTAAGCATTACCAACACTTGTTTCCAATACAATGTGATTATTCAGGAAACAATTAACAATCATGCACCTTAAAACAACTGAATCAGCAACTAATTGCATTAGTATTATACAATTAAATATGTCATAATTAAAAGTCAATCTATAATCAATCGCGATTATTGCAATTTTAAGCAAAACATTCAAAAATAATATCACTATTTAAGGCTCAATCCCACATAGTATTGGGAACAACCATTTCGCGTTGCGATAGTTGAAAATCGCGTTGCGATTTTTCATTTCGCGTTGCGATAGGTGAAAATCGCATTGCGATAGTTGAAAATCGCGTTGCGCTTTTTCATTTCGCGTTGCTATAGTTGAAAATCGCGTTGCGCTTTTCCATTTCGCGTTGCGATAGTTGAAAATCGCGTTGCGATTTTTCATTTCGCATTGCGATAGTCTACAGTTGTCGTTGCGATTTTCCAAATTCGTTGCGATAGTCTACAGTTGTTGTTGCGATTTTCCAAATTCGTTGTGATAGTTAAAAAAAAAATTTGTTTCTTAAGAATTTTCTCTAAAAAGATAGTATCCGCGCGGACGTGTCAAAGACACGTATGACCACGACCACGACCCAACCCCGACCCCGACCCGACCCGAGACGAGACGAGACGGACGACGGCGACGGCGCGCGAGAGTCCTCCTTGTTCTCTATCACTCAACAAGGAAGTGGGAAAGCCAAGCCTTAAATACCATTCCCAATAGTGTTTTCAATACTATGTGGGATTAAGCATTACCAACACTTGTTTCCAATACAATGTGATTATTCAGGAAACAATTAACAATCATGCACCTTAAAACAACTGAATCAGCAACTAATTGCATTAGTATTATACAATTAAATATGTCATAATTAAAAGTCAATCTACAATCAATCGCGATTATTACAATTTTAAGCAAAACATTCAAAAATAATATCACTATTTAAGGCTCAATCCCACATAGGATTGGGAACAAGTGTTGGTAATGCTCAAATCCCACATAGTATTGGAAACACTATTGGGAATGATATTTAAGGCTTGGCTTTCCCACTTTCTTGTTGAGTGATAGAGAACAAGGGGGACTCTCGCGCCGCCGCCGTCCGTCTCGTGGTCGTGGTCGTGGTAATACGTGTCTTCGACACGTCCGCGCGGATACTATCTTTTTAGAGAAAATTCCTAAGAAACAAAATCTTTTTTTTAACTATCACAACGAATTTTTGCAACGAATTTGGAAAATCGCAACGACAATTGTAGACTATCGCAACAAATTTGAAAAATCGCAACGACAACTGTAGACTATCGCAACGCGAAATGGAAAATCGCAACGCGATTTTCAATTATCGCAACGCGAAATGCAACGCGAATTTGCGATAGTAGAGATCGCAATGCAAATTAGATATCGCATTGCGCTTTTGTTGGTCATTTTCGCAAATTCAAAAAAAGTTGGTTAAAATCGTATATTATCTGAGATTTTTGGTCACTGAGGTTATTTTCTCTTATTTTTATCATCAAACGTATTTTTCAATTTTAAAATGATAAAAAAATTGAAATCTGTTTTTTCAGGAATGAAAATAAATAATGAAAACAAACAATATTTTATAATTTTATTTTTAACATATAATTTTAATTTTTACTTTTAAAAATGAAAAATATGTTTGATGAATATAAATAAAATTTTGTTTTCAATGATAAAGATATGAAAATATGTTTGGCTGTTTGTTTTATAAAAGAAATATGATTAATAAAGTAAAGAAGAAAAACTAGATTTATATGGATTTGAACTAGGTTTAGGATTTTAGATTTATTTATTGTATTTATATGGATTTGCATCCATATTAATTCGTTAATTTAAAAAGAAAGGCCTTTTTTAAAACTTTTTAATTTTTACAAAATATTTTTAATGAAACTAAAAAAATTATTTTTTATTATACATATTTTGATTTATAGAAAAAATAAAAAAAATAAATTTTTAATATTTTTCATTTTCTAAAAAAAATAAAATAACATTTATTTCTTAACACATAACCGACTCTCGAACTCAAATTTTGATAACGCAGACCGCAAGTTTGTTGTTTTAATTAAAATTAATATTTTATTAAAATGACAAATATGTTTTTGAGTGACTAATCACAGCCTAATCAAATATTGGTGATGACTCCTCGAACTATGTTTTATCACTAATCAGTCACCAAAGAATTATTTCAAAACGAGACTCCTTTTTCCCCTCCGAAAAAAAAACCGTTTCGATAGGATCAAAACAACTAAATTTTGAAAATTATACTTTGGTCCCTATATTTTTAGAAAATTACCCTTTTGGTTAATAAATTTACAAACTTTATACTTTAACCACTAAACTTTTAAAATTTACATTTTGATCACCAACTAAAATTTAGGGTATTACAATATATGTACCCGTACACGAGTCAGATACGTCACATCATTTATAGAAAACTTTTACCATTTTAAAACCCGAGAAAATTTATTACTTTTAAATTTTATAGAAATCATGTATTTATTAAAAATCCATTTCGAGCATACATAAATGCAATTTAATAAATTGCTACATGTAAATTTTCATTGCCCTTTTTAGAAAAATAATTAAAATCTATTCATTTGAAAC